AAAAAAAAACAACAACAACAAAACAAAATCAAAATATAGCGAACAAATCAGTTAGTCGAGTGTATTGAGTTTAAACGTCACCGTCTGCTTGTGCCCAAATCATATCGGTAACAAATTCTTGCTTCTGATGCTGGTTCTCCGCGCGCTTATTTGTCACAAAATTGGTACGCGTTCACGTCGTTGTCCAAGTACAATTAACACTTTGTAGCTGGCTGCATTTAATTGAGAAACACCGTTTGCACTTGTATTACGTGCACTTTCCTGTTGTTTCCCAGCTGTTTGTAAACTACCACTAACATGTCACACAAGAGATTCTCAGCACAATAATTCTTAACCGTGAAATTTTCTGCTGTTCTGTTTATTGTCGAGTTAAGTACACCCGATTCACAACGCCCAATCAAATTTTGCCGTCTGCTTCTGACAGTCGAACGATGAAACGAGAAGCGCTTCACTACACTTAACTAACACCCTGCTCAAGAAATATTTTCAAACTAAATAAGAAACATATAAACTAAACAACATACAGACTGAATAACACACAAACAAAATTACATACAAACTGTTTGGTTGTAAAGCACGAATCTTCTGTTTTCCCTGTTCAAGACTTTGGTCGCAAGCTAGAGAACAACAAATGATGATTAAACCTAAACGGATATCCTCTAGGAGATTTATCAGAACATTAATCATAAAGATTCTAGACTGCATAAACTCCCTTCGCCTCCCCCGTGGCTCTGTAAATGGCGCCGTTGGGGTCGAAAGAGCTTTGTGGCAAACAAATTATGGTTTGCCTTTAAAAGATGCAAAGCTTTTCCACCATCAGGCACCTTGTAGGGGCATGGGCTCGTCAGGATAATCACAGTTAAAATTTTTGTACGTAAAGAGTAGCTAAGTATTTTTTTTTTTTTGCTAGACGGTTGCTTGCCTTTCGAGTGCCAGCGATAATGAAGTAGATTGGCATGCGGCTCTTCATCACAAGACAGGCCCTGTACTATGTTAGCCTCTCGATGCCATTCCTCTTTCAATTCTTTGTCAAAGTATTTCAGTAACACCATACTTAAAATGTTCCCTTCTTCACACCAAGCTGTAGCATAACCCTGAAACAACGAGTAAGACAATGGCTTTGAAAGTTCTCAATGGATTTATCTCAATATTCATTTTAATGTTTAACATTTATTTATTGATTGATTGATTGAATTATCTATTTCTTTATATAATTCCTCCGCTTCATGCTGAATTTGTGTTGCAGTGTAGTATAACTGTGTTGTTTTCCAAGTCCTACTATTTTGCAAGTCTTAATTCCCGCGAATAATGTTCCCTCAGGCACCTAAGAAGTTTTCTCTTTTAATTTGTTTTTTTGTATCGAGCTGTTATATCATGAGCAGCTGCTCGCGAGAATGGCCAAACACTCCCTGTGTCACGACGTTAAATAAATCATTACTTACTTATTACTTATCACTTACTGTTGCACGCCTTCCTGCGGTGTCGTCTTTCAGAATGTTAACTTCTTCAATCAGCCTCAGCTCGGCATGTGCCTGTTTGCTCCCTTGTTCCTGTGTTCCCGCTACTTTATGTAATTGCAAAGGACTGGAGCTGACGTTGGATACGCAAGTGTTGTCGCCATGGGCTTTCAGCCAATCAACGGACTGATTTTCAGCTTAATTCAAAGGGATAAAGAAAAGCAAAAGTCCTTTAAAATTGTTAACAAAGACCTCTAATTAAGATAGAACTGACAAGCAATTGTCTCTCCTTAAACGAAATTCCCTCAAACAATCTAGTGTGGTGGACTTTCTTTCCACCGATGTTGTTGTACCGTGACAATTTATTCCTCTCTTTCCTGCGGTCAACAATGCTGCGACACTCTGACCCTTCAAGTAATATATCAAAGTAACACGAAAGACCGTGTTTGAGCACATTTCCATACACAGAGGAGAGAACGTCGAAGTGTTTGGAAATGTGGTTAAACACTGTCTTGAGTGTTTGATATATCTTCTCAATCAGAATTAAAACCAAGGAGGAAACAGAGATCGCAAAAATCTATGCTAGTCAAGATTGTGAGCTTGCCCCGATCCGTTGCTCGGAGGAATAACTGCAAGTCTAATGAATGGACCATATTGTCACCAACTCATTTGTTAGCAGTTCAGTGTAGAATACTCGAACTTGCTAACAAGGACATACGTTTTCCTTTTACTGCTTGTGAAATGTGAAAAATTATGACTAACCGGTAAAACAATAAACTTGCTTAGTTATAAACAACAAAGCATTAACAAAGGAGCTATTTAGTTATATCCATTACATGAAATAAATACAGCTTTCACTTTTTTACGCGTACTCTTTGAAGAACTGGTTCAACCTACCTGCCCCTCGGCCGTTTACCGTCTTCATAACAAACCCAGTGACGTTTTTTCTCTTCCGACACAAGCTTCGCTTTGCCCTTTCGGTGGAAAATGTGTACAGAATTGGATTGAGGGACGAGTTAAGTGGAAGAACAAAGACTGCTATCCACACATAGGCAATTTTGTCTGGATCGTCAAAATGTCCAGTGAGAGATAATATGTTGATTATAATTATTGGCATCCAACAGCAAAAGTCTGTCATCACAATGAAGACAAGCCGCTTGGCCATGGCGGATTCTTTGCTTAAATTTGTTGATCGCACAGCGCGGGAAACGCGCTTTACCGTCCAGAACATTGTAATGTAGGCGACGAGGATAAACATGAAAGAGACGAAGTTCAATCCGACGAAAAAGGCGACAGAATATTCCCACCCGGCCTGTCTCCCTTCGGACAGCTGAAGAGGAAGGCAAACGGCAGAGCGGCTGTAGAATCCAAAATTACCGCTGTCGTCGTAAAAGTAGTTTAACCCTGCGATTGGAATTGTAGATATGACGACACCGAATATCCACACCCCTACGCATGCGTAAACGGTAGCTTTGTAAGTGAGGCGCTTGAACTTGAAAGGAAAGACGATACAAAGAAATCTGTCCATCGTGATGATGGTTAGAATCAGAACGGATACTTCACTAGAGAGCATCGAAAGAACTCCGACAATTTGGCAACCCAGTCCAGATCTCCATTCTTCGTCATGCTTAAAGTATTCCCCTTGCCATCTGACGTCCATAATGGCGATTGTCAAAAGATACACTCCCATAAGCATGTCGGCGACTGCCAAATTTGTCAGCAAAAAGGAATGCACCTTGTTCTCTTCCTTATCAATGATCCGCCATATTATGACAAGAAGGTTACCAAGGAAGGCGAGGATTCCAAGAATCCAAATACAAATCTGGAGAGTTTCGTTTTTCATGAGATCGTCGCAGCTTGAGAATTCATCGACTGGAGACTCACAGTCCACTCCTTCTATTGATTTCCTGGCGTAGCAGCAGAGGATGAAGCGATCGAGTTTCCTGTATGAGTATTACAAGAAACAGCAATTTCCTCTACTCCTTTGAGTTCGATACTCCACATAACAGCTAGCCGTATTTTCATTTCAATATTAGTTTTAATAATTAGGTATATTTCACGTCAACGGAATACACCGGAAAGTTTTCTAGCCTAAGCTGAGAAATGAAATCTGCAACAGGACTATCTTTCTTGACGTAACACTCCAATGTCTGAAGCGCGGTAGCCTCATGGTAAGCGCGCTCACTTCCGGATCGAGCGGTCCGGGTTCGAGCCTTGGCCCGGGACATTGCGTTGTGTTCTTGGGCAAGAACACAACACCCAGGTGTATAAGTGGGTACCGGCGAATTAAATGCTTGAGGGTAACCCCGTGATGGACTAGCATCCTGTCTTGGGGTCAGTAGAAATACTCCTTGTCGCTTAATGCTACAGAAACCGGGATAAG